TAATTCACAATGACTGCTTGATATAATTAAATAAAATAAAATGTTTATGTTTAAAAAAAATAGTGAAAAGTGTAAAAAAAAATAAAATAAGGGACAAATAAATGAATGTATTTATTGCATTTTTTTTAGCTGTGCTGGTTTTGTAAAAAAAATACTACAAATCAAAACTGGGGAAAAAAATGGTTTTTTTAACGTTTTTTCCTTTTTTTTATATTTTATTTGTCCTAAGTGAGGCGTTAGACACACATATGTGATATAAATATGTAGCCCTATCTGTCCTCTAAAAAACAATATATAATATGTGTGGGTGCACTTTGTAAGAAAGTATATTACTGACGTGGAAGAATCACACAGCAAAAATGTCACGAATGTTTACGAACATAAACTAAAAACAAGCTCAGTCATGAAGGGGTTAAATTATCTATGAATGTTTAACATTTCACTATGAACCATATTATCAGAGTAAAAATAAAATCTGGTACAATTTGTGCACAAATGAAACGGTCAAATGAGGTATTTATGTCATCATAAACCACCAATTCATTACAACAGTAAAGCTTGTAGACTGCGCCTATTTGTTCGCTGGCCTACTAAAGCAGCAAGGGACTCTGGTTTGAGCTTAATGCATAAAACATCATACATGGCACATCTTGATTTCCATACTAAGGCATGTGGGAACATAAAAACAGTAATTACTTGATTGAAAGTGATGTAGGAGCCTGGTGTTTTAATGTAATCAATCCTTGCCAGTGCAATGGACTTTCTGTCCTTTACAGAAGTTTTCTTACTGTAGTATCACCTAAAGTGTGCTGGCCAGTAAAATGCTTTGCACAACATTATGTACAACTAGGTTACTTTTGTTATTGGGGGGGGGGGGGGGACCCTACATACAAACACCATTGTGAAAATGCACATATATAAACTTTCATAGGGCCCCATTCACATCTGTGCAATGTGACACTGTATGTGTGGTGCAAGACGTTTTTAGTAAGGATGTCCCGATACCTATGCTAGCGTCGGAATCGGGCCCGATACAGGGCATTTTGACAAGTACTTGTCAAAATGCCCCGATGCCTAGCGCCGAAGCTTGCGCTATGTGTGTTTTTTCCCTTACCTTCCGTGGTGGCTGGGGTCCTCTGGGCAGCCTGGAGGAGCGTCGCGCCACTGCTGTGGGCGGAGATCCAGGTGGGGTCTAATGTATTTGGCCGGCGACCTGGAGCTCCACCCACAGCAGTGACGCGACGCAACGCTCCTCCGCTCTGCCGCCGTCGTCCTCACAAAAAATAATAAAATAAATTAAAAATTAAAAATGTTTACAAAGTAAATAAAAATTGAAACAATTTAAAACCAGCCCCTCTGCCCCCATCTGCATTAGAATAAACGCACAGTGTTTTCAACCGCACAATCTGCCTGGCACGACTGGGGTGCCATTAGAAAATGATGGCACTGCCAGCACGATTGGCGGTGGTGTGCAATCCATGACCGCCCGATCATCGTGCGCAAAACCGAGCAGATGGCATGGTATCGCACACCACCGCCGATTGCGCTGGCAGTGCCATTATTTTCTAATGGTACTCCATTTGCGCCAGGCAGATTGCGCGGTTTCCCGCCACAATACTGCCTGGGCGGTCCCACACGATCGCAGTTGAAAACATAAATAGGTTAGATGTTTTATTGTTCTAAAACAGTCTTAAAGTTCTTCATAATCATAAACAAATTGGCCTAAAACCATTAGTCTATTGCTTTTTTTAAAATGTCACCTGTCCCTTTAAGAAAAAGTATCGGTAATTGGTATTGGCAACTACATGAGGGGAAGTACTTGTACTTGGTCTTAAAAAAGGGGTATCGGGACATCCCTAGTTTTTAGTGTGTGTTTTCTAAGGATTTAATCACTTCTTGTTTCATAGCGGTTGGCCAGGGATAAAGCTAATCAAGAGACTAAGAAATGGAAAAAAAATTCAAGGTTTTCATTGCCAAGTCACTTCAAAATATACCAGTTGCCTGGCTGCCAAGGACAACTAGGAGCAAAATTAAAAATGACATATTAAGCTGTCTGTTAATAGAATTAACACAGCATCTTTCTTTTTGAGTACCCCCTGAAACATAGTTCTTTTATAGATATACAACCTCAATTTCAAAAAAAGTTGGGACGCTGTGTAAAATCTACATAAAAACAGAAGGCAGTGATTTGAAATGTTTAAACTGATAAAACGTAGCATTTTAAGAAAATAAGGTAATCTTTAAAATCTAAGGCGCAACATGTCTCAAAAAAGTTGGGACATGGTCATGTTTACTACGGTGTAGCATCTCCTTCTTTTGACAACACTGTAAACATCTGGGAACCGAGGAGACCAGTAGCTGGAGTTTTGGGAGAGGAATGTTGTCCAATTCCTCCCTGATCTAGGATTCTAACTGCTCAACAGTCCTGGGTCTTCTATGTCGTATTTTATGTTTTATGATGTGCCAAATATTTTCAACTGGTGAAAGGTCTGGAGTGCAGGCTGGCCAGGCAAGCACCTGCACTCCTCTACTACGAAGTAATGCTGTTGTCACATATGCAGTATGCGGTTTAGCATTGTCCTGCTAGGATATGCAAGGCCTTCCGTGAAAAAGATGTTGTCTGAACGGGAGCATACGCTGCTCTAAAACCTGGATACATCTTTCAGCATTGATGGTGCCTTTCCAGATGTGCAAGCTGCCCATTCGATATGCACTAATGCACCCCCATTACAATCATAGATGCAGGCTATTGAACTCAGCACTGATAACAAGCCAGAAGGTCCCTCTCCTCTTTAATCTGGAGGGTGCAACGCCCATGGTTGCCAAAAAGAATGTCAAATTTCAACTTGCCTGACCACAGACCAGTTTTCCACTATGTAGCAGACCATTTTAAATGAGCTTTGGCCCACAGAAGACGGCAACATTTCTGGGTTATGTTCAGATATGGCTTCTTCTTTGCATGATGGAGCTTTAACTTGCATTTCCTGGTCGGATGGCACGGCAATCTGTGTTCAGAGATTTCTGGGAGTATTCCTGAGCCCATGCAGAGATGTCCATCACAGAATTATGCTTGTTTTTAATGCAGTGCCATCAGAGGGCCCGAAGATCACGGGCATCCAATATTGTTTTTAGGCCTTGCCCCTTGCGCACTGAGATTTCTCCAGATTCTCTGAATCTTTTGATGACATTATGCACTGTAGATGAGGATATATTTAAAGTCTTTGCAGTTTTACTTTGAGAAACATTATTCTGAAATTGTAAAACTTTTTCTAGAGGCAGTTTTTCAGATTGGTGAACATCTGCCCATCTTTACTTCTGAGACACTCTTACTCACTAAGATGTTCTTTTTTATACCCAATCATGTTACTGACCTGTTGCCCATTAACTTAATTAGTTGCAACTACTTTGCCAAATTTGTGTTGCCCTGTACCAACTTTGACATATGCTGCGGTCATCAATTTCAAAATTACCTTATTTGTTTCTTACAATGGTACATTTTCTCAGTTTAAACATTTGATATGTTTTCCATTTGCTATTGCGAATAAAATATGTATTTATGAGATTTGCAAACCATTGCATTCTGTTTTTATGTGGATTTTGCATAGTGTAACAACTTTTTTGGAAGTGGGTTTGTCTTTTTTTTTTTAAACTGACAAACCTGTCAAGGAAAAGTATGCTTAGTATAGTAGGGTTCAGACAAACCATTTAACAATGAAAGTTGTGCTTGCAATGGTCAGCTTTCATTCATTTATGTAAAATCTTAATCCCAAAAGAATTTTTTTTAAAACTATTTCCGTAACTGCTTAAAAAGTGTGTGGACTTCTAGTGGTGGAAAATAATAAATGCAGCGGACAGCTCTGGATTTAAGGTAAGCATTGCAGTAAAAACTTTTTTTAGTTTATATTTAAATAGGCTATTCATTTGTTTGCTGGAGATCTGATTAAATGATAATTAGACAACAGCTGGAACGGAAATAAAAAGCATGGTTTTGTAAAAGGTTGGTAAAATTACAAACATAACTGTTGCATTTAAAATATAGTGGACATTGCCATATGACTGTAACCAAGGCTACAGTAGAAAATATGTTCAATCCTGCATGACGTTAACACATCTTTGCTTAGAATGCCACCCATTAAAGTACCCCTATCAAACGGCATCATAACTTCAACATCATGTACACATGAGGTTTTCAAAACAAACTACATACTCCTACTTTTTAAACCTACAGAACAATCATATACGGCATGTTGATACTCTAGAGATGTGTAAAAGTGTTCTTAGATTTCACTAGCGCTTATAATACTAAGCAAAAATTAAATAGAGTAAATATTTTAACACTTGAAAGATACCCCCTGAGAGTTCCACAGGGTTTCAGAAAATTTTAGTTTTTTAATAAGTTGAGCAGCAGAAAGCACCATGTCTGGAAAAAAAATGAAATTGAATTCTTAGGCAGCACTAAATATTTTATGAGCAAATTTGAAAGCAGCTTACCCTGTATTGATGGAAATGATTTCTATCAGTGGGTTCTTCCTAATCTTTGGCAAATCCAATCGAGCTCCCCCCAACCGTTTTCCATTATCCTTTTTCTGACCCAGCAGTCGCACTGAATGACCTTCAAATGAAGCACATAAATACACAAACACAAGTCACGCTACTTCAGCATAATTCATCTTGCACCGCCAGAAATATTAATGGTTGTATTTCAATATTTAAAGCAGACATTAACAGAGATAGAAATGTATAGGGAAGAACAGCAATAATGGTAAAAGACACAAGGAGGCATTTAAAACAAAATGGCCCACCTAATAAGGCTGGGAACTTGCTATTGCTTGTTTGTGCAAATGAGGAAGGTGTTGGAAGTCCTTTTTGTTGGCTAAAGAGTTCTGGCAAAGTAAAAACCTGTGATGTAACATTCTAAAGACTACTTCTGCAGTTGCATAGGTGATGGGCATTCAGTTATATTTTGTGTATTGTGGGTAGCCCTTACCTCCTCTCTGAGTGTACATTATAGAAAATGATTAAATACTTGTTCTCTGAAATAATCAGCCCCAATTAGAGGTGATGGATAATATGGAAGATAAGAAGTGGTCACCCCTGCATTCAGCTTTGTATCATGTTCTCATTTACAATTTACCATTGCTGCTTACATTTTTTTTAACCACCCCCAGCTGTGGAAAGTTTACTGTAATTAACCCCCAACTGTATTGGCAGATTTTATTATAAGTTTTAAACTAGATTTGAACACGGTCTGTCCTAACAAATGGTTAAGAGACTCAGAAGCATTGTTTGTTAATGAGAAGCAGCTCAGTCTGACCCCCAGTTTTATTTTTACACTGTTCAGAGTAGCTTGGAATCTGCATAAAGGACTTGAGCAAATAAACATCTAAAAAGGTAGGAAATATGTTGTTAACCCTTTCACGGCCACGGACCTAGTACATCATTGGCAGCACGACCCTGTAAACAGACTTTAGCCACCAGTAAAGTTGGCTTTACAATAGCTCAGCTGCCACCAGATCGCTTCTATGGGCCGGTAAAATACATGGCCCACCTTCACAGTGTTTCCCGGGCTCCACTGCCCCCCCTGTGGGCCCGGGACTAGCATGTCGGGTGCAGGCGGGAAGCTAGGAAGTTGAGTGGTGAACATTCGCTTCCCTTTCTCCTTCCCATTGTATGGGACCGGGAGCAACGCGGATTGCATCACTTTCAGTCCCTAAGCAGTCATTGCACTTAATTAAATACATTAAAGTATAATCTGCACTTTAATAGCTTATTTAACAAAACATCTAAAAAGGTACGAAATATTTTTTATTTTATTTTTAAATTGTATATATTTTTTTCCCCAGTATTGTGTGAATAGAAATGCATAGCAAACTTGTTAGCAAAGGTGTTTTCCTAAATTTGACTCCAAAAGTGGAAATACACTTTAAATTAGAACTCCAGGAATGAAAAAATAAAAAAAGGGTAACGGTTTGCTTTTGTCTAGATTTAAAAAAAAAAGTTATACTCACCTGATGCTCTGAGCTGGCTTGCTCCTAGACCAGTCCCTTCCAGCCAAGACATCGCCCCCCCCCCCTTCATCTACAGCGGGATTAGGTCCCGTAAATCATAACGTCTATATATTGTGTATAGACATGAGGACACTGAGGAAGATTGCAATGATGCAGCGAAGGAGGAGGAGACAGGCTGGAGGGAGCGCTTTGACAGCTGGCCAGCTCTGAACTCAAGGTGAGAATATCTTTGTTATTTTTCAACCTAGACAAAAATGAGCACCTAACCCTTACACTGCAGGGGTAGCACCAATGCAATGGTTAAGAAAATGTTTTCCTGGAGTTCTTTAAGTTGCATGAGTGCAGAGAGTAAGTCATCCTGTGTGTTTGCAGAAGGATGTCACCATTTAAGTGAAATAAAAAAAGCCCATGTATTAATGGAGTACTGTCATTTCAATACAAGCACTATCGGGACCGCACATGATCCCCTTTATTAGGCTCAGGACACTGGGTCCCCCTTATCAAGCTTGTCTCATTGCAAACTTGTATATCTTCATGGTGACATCCGTGGTCACTACGAGCACCCACAAGGATTCCAAGGATCACAAATCTAAACAACCCATTCACTTTGTATCCTGTTGCACAAACCACTACATAGCTGTTGGTAAGGGCTGGTGCAGACCTTAGCGATCAGGGACGATAGTCCTGGGATCACGCAGTCGTGCACAACTGCAGACAGTGATTGTTGTGCGGCCCCATTGATTTCAATGGGGTACATCCACGTGACAATTGCAGAAAAAGGTACATGTACCTTTTTTTTGCAATACATGATGTGCAGCTGTTTTAGCCTAATGGGATGCCATTAGAAAAGAATGGCATCCACATCGTGATTGTCGGTGATGGGTGACCCACGATTGCTGCACAGTCACGGATCACCCAGGTGTGAACCTGGCCTAAATCTAGAGGAGCTTAAATAATAAGAGATTGTATAGTGAATGGTCAGCATTAGGTAGAGAAAAATATAAGGTTACCTGCACAGACACCACAGTGTGGGTTTTTTTTGTGTCCTTACTTCTACTGTATTTCAACATTATATTTACAGAGCTAGAGCATAGAAAATGTTATAGAATATCACCTTGAATGATGGTATTACAAAGTACTACCATATAATACACTTTGTATTGAATATGCTTTGGACTTAATCAGTGACAGTTGCAACAGGTTCAGTATATTGAACTGCAGGATCTACATACCACAAAAGGAAAAGATCTTGCATACTAAGAATGTATATTTCCACGTGTTTAACTAGAACTGAAAGTACCGAGATATTAAAGTTATATTAAAGTCAAAAGGATTTGAAGCTATTTTAAACGCTGATGAAAAACACTTACGATGGATGCTGGTTCTTGATGTTTCAAAAGCTTTAGTTTCCTGCTATGCAGTCACCCTTGTGTGTGTAGTAAGCTGTGCGCGTCTCCACAAACACACAAGCAAAACAAATGACAAACGCACTCATCAATTTGTTACCAGCTTTACAGCAAGGTACACACAGAAGGGCTTCAAACAGTAAAACAGAAAAAAGTTTCCAGGCACACTGACCAGCCAGCATGCAAAAAAACCTGTCTAACCACTAAAGTTAAAAGCAGAGGTTTGGATACACGTCTTCTGCAGAAAATGTGAAAGCCGCACAACCACGCCAAGGCACCTCCATATAGTGCGGTCCTAACTCTAAACTATGAGTTTAATACTACTTTAAATAAAGGGACATATTTAGTTTGTATGTTGCACTTTACAATGTATACAAACACATGCCTTATAAAGCAAAAATCAAACATTTTCAGATGTTTTATTAAAAAAAAAAAAATATCTGAATAGAATAATAAGCTCATCAATCATAACCTTGCTTCACTAATTAGTTTAATAGGCCATCAGAATAAATGGGCTCATTCATGTTATAATACTAACTAAACAGAGTGAAACAGCAGTTGGCTCCACGATGCAGTTGAGACAAGATACTCATACACACAGTGAAGTTAATGAAGAGGTGAGCAAGACTAGTCTGATAGCTTAATAGGTAAATCTGTTAGATACATATGATGTCATATGCTTCAGAGTGGCTAACCAAAGTAGAACATTATGCTGCTACTGCTAAGAACAATGATCCTATTAACTATGCCAGCAAAACTGCTTATCAAATACCATTTATGTAGTCATCTGTGTCTTGCACTGGCCATGCATGTAATGATCAGTAGAGTTCTAATTATACAGCAGAGCAGTAATTCATTTGAAGATATACTCCACCAAATACTTCACGTGGTTATATAAAACATTTTAATTCACCCACATGCAATATTCAAAAATATTGATATGACCTTTATCTAGAAAAGGTTTAGGATTATATAGGAGGTATGAATTCTTCGTGTGTAAAATTGAATTTTCAAATATCTCAGCTTCTGCATGACCAGTCAAAGTGAGAAACCCTAAAGTGGCAAAACCTTAATGAGGATGAAGAAGCAACATATATTGGGGCATAATCCTATATTAAACATATACAACGATCAGCCATAACATTATGACCACCCGCCTTCTAGTGAGTGGGACCCTCTTCTGTCGCCAAAACAGCCCTGACCCATCGAGTCAGGCAAACAGCCCAAGACCTCTAAAAGTATGCTGTCTATCTGGCACCAAACAACCAGCAGCAGATCATTTAAGCCATGTAAGTTACTAGGGCTGCAACAACTAATCGACATAATCGATTATAATCGGTTATTGAAAACATCACAGGAGGACTGCTCCTGTGATGGACCGCAGCTCCTGTGATGGACTGCAATGTATTTGATTTTTTATCCGATTAATCGAACTTAATAATCGGCTAACTAATCGATTTTGAAAATAATCGTTAGCTGCAGCTCTATAAGTTACAATGTGGGGCCTTCATGGATCGGACTTGTTTTTCTAGCACATCCCACAGATGTTCGATTGGATTGAGATCTGAAGAAATTGGAGGCCAAGTTAACACCTCAAACCAATCTTGAGCCATTTTTGCAGTGTTGAAGGGTCTGAAAGAGGCCACTGCCATAAGGGAATGAAAGAGGCGGGAGAGAGGTGCTGAAAGAGGCCACTGCCATAAGGAAATACAATTTCCCTGAAGGGGGGTAATTGGTCAGCAACAATGTTTAGGTAGGTGGCACATGTCACATGTCAAGTAACATCTGCATGAATGGCAGGATCCAAGGTTTCCCAGCAGAACATAGCCCAAAGCATCCCACTGCCATGCCTTCTTCGCAAGTGTATCCTGGTGCCATCTCTTCCCCAGGTAAGCACACACATGCACAGGGCTCGAAAAATCCACTCGTCTGTGACGAGCAGCTTCCCAGCCGGCCTTTGTAATTACACGGACGGCCGGGAGCTTTACAGTCAAGCGATTGAGCGTCTCGAGAGACGCTCGATCGCTTGTATCAGAAGCTGTCACTGCCGTTGCCGGTCCCGAGTTCAGTATACGAACTCCCTTTGATCTCCTCTCAGTCCCTGAATGCAGGAAGTGATGTATATTACATCACTTCCTGCATTAATTACATTTATGGTACTTATTGAATTATATAGTAAAAAAAAAATAACCCCACCCCCCCGTGGTGATTATATATCTCCAAAAGAAAGCTCTATCTGTCCCCAAACTTTTTTAACATAAATTGCAAGGCTATAGTCCGGTCATGCTGACTGGTGAAATTTTTGACTGACTGGTGAGACACTATCAGATTTTTCAAGCCCTGCACATGCATATAAAATAAAACGCAATTCATCAGACCAGGTCATCTTCTTCCATTGCTCCATGGTCCAGTTCTGATGCTCACGTACCAATTGCAGCCATTTTTTGCAGCGGACATGGGTCAGCATAGGCACCCTGACCAGTCTGTGGCTACGCAGCCCCATATACAACAAACTGTGATGCACTGTGTGTTCAGACACATTTCTATCGGGCCAGCGTTTGCTGCTCATGTCGATCAATGAGCCTTGGCCGCCCATTCACCCGTTTTCCTTCCTTGGACCACTGCAGAGTGGGAACAACCCACAAGAGCTGCAGTTTTGGAGTTGTTCTGACCCTGTCAATTAGCCATCACAATTTGGCCCCGAGTTGCTCAAATCCTTACACTTGTCCAGTTTTTTTTCTGCTTCAAAACACATCAACTTCAGGGACTTGCCGCCATATATATCCCATCAACTTCCAGGTGGGACTGTGAAATGTTAATCAATCTTATTCACTTTAGCTCTCAGTGGTCATAAGGTTATGGCTAATTGGTTGATGTCACCATATTGTGGCATTAGGGGATTACAGGGCACAAATATGTGAATTCATTATAAACCTAAAGCTGAAGTTTGGTTTTCTCCAAAGAAGTAAATAATAATAATAATTGCTCCAGGCAGCAAGTGGTTAAAGAGTACCTGTCACTGCCAATATGCTATCATATGGGGGGCTTGTAAGTTAAAGTTACAAAAATAGGGCCGATTAATCGAACACGAAAATTTTAATGGATTAATTTTGATTAATTATAACGCACATACAAATCCAACTACATTGGCCTATACACATACAGCACAGCAATGAAGTAATAAAATGAACTAGGATCACACTAATCCAGCACGTTATTAATCTCACGTGCCCCACTCAATATGGCCGCCGCTTGAGTGGGGCAACTCAGAATAATAACGTGCTGGATTAGTGTGATCCTAGTTCATTTTATTACTTCATTGCTGTACTGTATGTCTATAGGCTAATGCTTTGGCTGGCGCTCGTGCAGAACAAGTTTCTTTGGCAAACCTCTTAGTTGCAACGAACCCGGAAGTCAGGCGGTCGCAGAACTCGATAAGTGTCGACAGATCACCGGCCCAAGTGGCTCTGTCGGCTAACGAAGGGAAGAGGAGTTTGGTGACGTCACGGACATCGACGTCACCGGACTCCTCCCCCCTACCCTTCGTTAGCCGACGGAGCGACTTGGGTAAGGGAGGAGGAGTCCGGTGATGTGACCCCCCCCCCGGTGGGTGTGAAAGATAGATGGATAGATAGATGGATAGATAGATAGATAGAGATAGATAGATAGATCCCCTTTAAGTTTTTGGTAGTTAAAAGGCAAACGGTTCAATCAGCATTCGGATGGATAGAATGTTAATTTATTTATTTTTGCTCATTAATATTTACTTTTTCCAAATGCCTTTCAGGATGGTTACATGACACTGCACAGTTATTTTCACTGGACTGGGCAGTAGTCACAAATGCAGAGAGTGGCTAACACAAGGACAACTACTCTGCTCTCTGCACCCATACACTGTGAATTAAGGGTGTTGTGGTAGTACCCCTTAAGGAGTGGGTCCATGATACCCCCTGCACTCACAGTAGGTTCCCAACCTTATGTGCCGAGTGACGCTGTGGTGTGGAGAAGAGGAGCTGTAAGGGGCACCTTGCAAAACTGATGGTGAGCATTGCACCCTGAGCTGATGCATTTACTTATTTTAAACTCTTCCTAGGAGACCTTCTAAAGTGGGGGGAAGAAAAACATTTAAATTGGGACATGACCGACTAAAGTTTAGAAAACATTTCTGTACAAAATCCATATGGAACCTAAACATGCAGTACCCCTAAAGCCGGTGTGCAACAAAATCACTGAGTAAGTAACACCAGCATTGAATAAGAAATACTGTTTTGCAGCAGTGATTTAACTGTGGGGATAGCAACTCTCCAGTTCCTGGATAAAACTGTGACAATGTGAGTCTACTTCAGTGAATGCACTATCAGGATCCAAACTAAGTGCTTCAGTTTTGTTTTTTAGCAGGTCTACAATTTAAAATGAAGCAGCTTGCACCCAAGTGTGATAACATAACACTAGCATTTACTTTAGAGACATTTAAACTAAAAATGATGCCTTGCACATTTCTGTAGTAGTGAAGCTTTTTATGACATATCTCTTTCCAAAGGTGTCCATATATGGTTCAGTGGGCACACAAAGCTTTTATTACATTTTGATTCATAGGTGACTGAATACTGCATCACAATATGGTCTCATAAAGAGCAGTAAAACAGTGTCAAACAAGGGAGACATTAAAGGTAGCCTGGCTTTGCACTCTTCTGGACACATCATCAATTGCAAATTTGAAGGCTGGAAATTCAAGTTCATTGCAAGTTCAAGGAGGTTACCACCGTGCCAATATCCAAACAAAGTAATTAAGCTTCATGGTATCTCTAGCTGTTGTCAGCATATGAAATGGAGTGGCCATTGCTTCTCAATTATTTCTCTATGTTCCTCAATATATATTTAAAAAAAAATGCAAAGATCAAAGCTCCGTCCCTAAAATTAGCCAGACATTACAATATGATGGTACAATATATGTTCAGTATACTTTAGATACGGTCTTATCCATTCAATGTATATCCAGTCAGGTAGACCCTCGCACTATATAGTTATTGCTTAACCTAGAAGAGTTGGTCTAATTACAGTGTCTGTGAATAAGCAAACAATCTATTCCACTAAATGAGAGGACATAAATTGATAGTTTTTGATCAATTTAAGAGGAACTAAACTAAACACACTTTGTAATATAGTGGTGGGACACAAAACACATTTATTGGCAATACAAACAAGTTGCTTACAGCACATGGATAATTGGTATGGTTCAAAAGTACAGACGTCAGTGATCAGACCTCACCAGGTGATCGCAGCACTTGGAAAAACTTTGAGGCTGCCCTTACTGGCTTCTCCTTCTGTAAATGCTAGTTGCCGGCCTGTCATGCCGGAGTGGAATACTTGTTCCAGTCTAGTGATTCATAAGATGTTAAGCCAGAGAGTCCACATAATAGCCAGAAAACTAGTATTTGTTGAAAGAGGTTGGCAATGGCATGCAGCAGGCCTCTCTCAGGAAAGATTTACTTTCAATGATTTTAAAGGAGACACATGCATGGCACTAAGATAAATATAGAGATTGCCATTGCTAACCTTCATGTATAAATAGCAGTTGCTAAGCATTCAGTTCTTTATGAGTCACTGACCTGGAAACAAAAGCAGACAGGTCAGGAAAGTCCGAAAAAAGTCAGATATACACACTTGTTCCGGGTCACTGACTCAAAGTACTGAAGCCACTGGATCAGAATGACAGGTAGACATGTAGGATAGATAAAAAAAACTTTTAGTATCTTCCCAGGTCGCGGCGGAGGATACAAGTGGCTACAGCTAAGTGTGGGGGAACGGGGGTTTTACAAAAGTACTGGGTGTGTTTTGCCTTAATGCAGGGAAGCCATTAAAGTAAAAAATAAACAAAAAAAACCCCAGCCTTTAGTATTACTTTAATGTGCAAATAAAATACTGTGCAGGGATCCACAACTCAGGAAAGCTAGTCATTTATATAAGTGAACATTAACAGTCTACTGAATGTACTTCTCACCTTTAATTGTTTCTTCAACAACTTCTACTACTCGATCAATCTGTTGGACCTGCAAAGTGACAAAGACAGATATTCCTTTTTTAAATTCTGTGTTCAGTAGCTACTATAAGGATATCGTATGGAATTGCAAGATATGTTATAACCATATGACTAATGAATTTAGATTGGACAAGCTAAAATAAATATAGTAACTAAATGAGGGGGAAAAAGATCAAACTGATGTATAGAAAGAATGTCGATTTAGTTACAGCTTACAAATATAAAGATGTGTCCTGTTCCGTAGCGATACAAACAGTATAGTCCCAAGTATAGACATGACCACAGCAACACAGCATTGACACGGTGCTTTTGTTGAAAAATGCAGCTTGGGACTAGGCATCCAAACTTGCATAGATTTTTGGTGCACGCATACATAATCTAATCTTGGTAACAAATATATCTAGGTGTTGAAAGTTCAAAGTAGGGATGCACCGATACCAAATACAATACTCGGTACAAGTACATGTACCGATACTTCTTTAGCTCCAAGACTAGACTGGAGAAAAATGCTAAAGTTAGGAGGCAGCTGTCATTTGTAAGGAGCACACGGAGCTCCTGGGATTTGTTCATCTGTTTTAATGTACAATTTTGTTTTTATAAATATAAATAAAGGGATGCACCGATACCAGTTTTGCGAGTACGAGTACTGATACTGCCCAAGTACTTACAGACACAAGTACTGATACATTTTTGTTTATTGTCATGTGACAGTTTTTCTAAAACAATATCGACTAATGATTTCAGGACAGTGGTGGAGCGCCAGAGCTAGGTCCCAGCTGCAACCCTGGTAGTTCGTGAAAATGCCAAGTATCGGCATTGGTACTCGAAAAGTATCGGTGCATCCCTAGTTCAAAGTGAAGTCAAAATGATAGTCCTAAAATTAATATTCTACCTTTGCCATGTCGATGGACACTCAATATGTGTAGTATAATAGGCTAAGTGCTTCCTGTGTGTAAGTGGTCTCTTATTTATTCTAAACACTTCACTTTTTTAAATTGACAAGCTTTCTATGTGACAGTACACAGTAACAGATGCTCTGGTGCCACCTCCATCCTATGCGATCTGCACTGGCCTGGGCAATGATGCTGGTACACTAAGCCTATGAACCTGAAAGTGTTCAGAGCTCATTAACCAGAAAGTATTCAGAGCTTATGGACCCAAAAGTGCTCGGAGCAGAACATGCTCAGGTTCTATCAAGGCAGAAAGAGATTGCTGAACAGTGATTGGTAGTTAGTAAGGCTGGAGCTACCAAGGATATTTTAACGTATATCTAAAGTCAAAATGTATTTTTTTCAGATAGGCTGTGAGAGTGATAAATCCCATCATTTCCTTTTTTGTTTTGTTTGCTTTGTTTCCTTTTTGGGAAAATGTACTCTGTTTCTATGTCATGATGATCATTAACAACCAAAGAGAAAGTGATGGGGAATTTTACTGTTTTCACCAAAAAAGAAGGCAAGGCAAAATCTCCCAATGGGGATAACAAAACTGGTGCCGTCGTTTGATCTGCCCACACTTTGAAGATATGTTGTGGGACTGAAAGTGGAAAAAAATTAAACAATTAGATCAATGTGCAACTAATAACAGGACTGTTATAAAAAAATGTCCATTTCCATTCCAAAGTGATATGTTCTCTTTAAAGCCCACCCTCTGACTCAGTTATACTCACTACATAGAACCTCCCTCAGCTGCAAAATGCCAGGAGTTGGTTGGTGTTAAGAGCTTAAAGGGAGCAATGATATCTCCTCTCATGCGACAGTGCTCGGGCCTTGCAATTGGTCACTAGTCTTCAACACTGCAACATTGGAGGAGGTCACATGCTTTGCATACCCGAAAGGACAGGATACTTTTCAGCGGACGCAGTGGAATAAAGGTGTGTGTGTGTCTGGGTGTGTGTGTCTGGGTGTGTCAGAGCTGGAGAGCTGAGTATAAGATGGTCGGGGGAGGGGTGTATATATATATATATATATATATAATGTTCATTAATTTGCAAAATAATTGAATGTATAGAGCATCTAGCAAATTTAAATGCATATGCTGGTAAAATGAGCTGTTGTGTTCAGTACTAGCCAGCTGCTCCACCTTTACACACAGAGCAGAACAAATATGAAGAACATTTTTAAGATATGTCATAACTGTGGGTTTCTTTATTGCCTGTTTTCCTGAAGTCTTTTGTCAGAACAGCAAACAAAACTATGATTTCCAATGTTGCTTTCCCTGTTAAAATATTTTTTTTCCATTGAAAAGCCTAAACTATTTGAAGTGGAAGCCCCCTCTGGTAAGTTCTGCTGTACAGTACAAGGCCTGGCAGGCTTTGTAAGCCAGTGACAATTAGATTGGCTGCACTCCTTGAGATAAGTGGATGCCCTGCATGATCCCACTATCCCTCAAAGCACTAAAGCAAGCCATGGCACCAAAGAGCAGCAGTCACAAATAGCTTGAAAGTTGAAAGCTTTCCCCTCAAATAATAAGAACTACATTTGCTCCATTTGGTTTAAAGGGTTTGTTCACTTGTTGAAAACCTCACTTGCATCAATTTTAATTAAACAGCTTACGTCTCCTGAAAGTGTATGCGCGTCTGTGTTCATTTTCACTTCTCTGCTATATAATTTTGAGGTTTAAGTCACCAGCAGAGAACAGAAAATGTATTATTGCATATGACTGCCATGGAAACAGATGGCTTAAGAAAATGATTCACTGCTGCATTAACGCAGCCAAAATCATTCTTTTGATTGTGCAAGGGTCATAGTTGAAGGAGTATTCTTTAACAACTAGACAGTTGAGTTTAACCTGAAATGTAACAGTTCTGTGCAACAGAAAGGAAAAAAGAAAAATAAAGCATGTAAAATGACACAGGAGAAAGTGATTTTTTTATGAACAAGCCTATTACAATAAAATCTAAATGTCCATTTCTAAAACACCAAACCTAAACAAAGTTACGTTTTCTTTCTAGACTACAAGATGGCTCATGTACAGAAAAAAAATGGATATACAATATACAAATTGTACATGAAAAAGTTTCAGCAGGTAAGCAAAACCAAGAGTATTTTTTAATTATTAATATATTTTACAAGATTTATATAGTGCCAACAGTTTGTGCAGCGCTTTACACTACAATGAAGACATTACAATCACAATATAATTCAAGACAAGATGGTAAGGAGGGCCCTGCCCCTGAGGGCTTACAATCTAAAATTAAATAATGTTTTTGTGGAAACGTTTTTTAATTTTTTTTATTATGGATCTTTAGCTAAGTGGAACACTGAGTATATAAGATGCAGTGAACGTTCTGGTTGCTCGATACAATGTACCAGTACGGTTGTTACATTTTTTGTTGCATCAGATTGAAGTTGTATGTCATATATTTCGCTGCATTGTTTAATAATAAAAAAATGTTTAAACTTTTATTTTCCGCAAGTGACAAGCGTTGCCTGATTACCTAGCAACCGATCGGTCACCGGATCCGGGTTCCTGACACTCATTGACTGACGGACGGCACAATTACCTTTGGTAATATATATGCGCAGACAACACACTGCGCGTACACCGTGAGAGCCGGTCCCCTAGACATGAGCAGCCAGCAGGATGCAACCCGGATCCATGGATGACACGGATCGGAAAAAAGCAGGTAGATCTCGGGCAACGCAAGATCACCACTACGGACAAGGTATTTTACCAGTATGCAACTGTATCATGTGTTCAGCATATAGCTAATTGCACCTGGGCAGCATGGTGTGAATCATGTTGTTAGGACGTCAGAGGAGGAGGTATTAACTGCATTGTGATTGGTGGTTTGATTTTGTGTCACCTGTATTTATTGTTTGACTTTGTTGCATAACCCACTCTCTGTTTGCCTGAGGACGGGACCGCATGGTCTCGAAACGTCGCTAAGGAGATGTGTGTTATCTCAGTCAATAAACAGCATTGACTTTAATATCATGGAGTGCGAGTGACTAATTTCATCTATCTACATTTCACGAAGGCATCCGTTGTCACTACCGCACCCACCCAGTTGGATTTTTGTCCGGTCAGGATTGCGATGGGACAGGAGGATTAAGACCCCCTTGTGGGTGTCTCTTGAAGCCGTGGACTGTGACCCTCTTGGAGTGCACAACCTGCTCTGGTCACCTCCCAAACATCGCCCCCACATCTATAACCCGATAACTCTCCACTCCCTGAAAATATGGGATTCCGTGAAATATTCGGGCATCTCCTCTCCCCTCACCTACCACTTCTTTCTTTTCTCCACAATCCGGCATTCCTCCGCCCCCCCCCAGCTATAGAACACCCCTCGGCTTTCTCCAGATGGTCCGCCGGTAACGCAACGCTATTCAGATCTCTCCTTGACCAAAACGGTATTAAACCCTTTTCAACTTTACGATCTAAACACGACCTGCTCCATACAGACCTTTTCCGTTACATACAAATCCGCCATATCTTGACCACCGTACCAGGTCCTAAACCCACCCGCTTTCCCCTCTCCATATTTGACCATATCTGCTTACACTCACCACATGCTAAGGGAGTAATCTCTTCACTTTATTCTTCCCTCGTTCATCCCCCCTACCCCCCCTTCCCACTCTTATGTGTCACAATGGGAACGTGACCTTGATTTAACTCTGGACGCTGAACAATGGCAGCAAATTTGGGATACGATCAGGACTTCCTCTCGGTGTGCGGTGGCAGTGGAGACCAACTACAAAGTTTTAATGCGGTGGTAGTATGTTGCGTCAAGATTAGACCGTATCTTTCCCTCATCATCCCCCTACTGCTATCGCCACTGCACTAACCCGGGCACTATGCTCCACATCTGGTGGGAGTGCCCGATAGCTGTGAAATTTTGGCGAAAGGTATTCACTTTTATACACTCTCTCATCCGCCACACCCCACCTTTTCAACCTGCTATAAGCTCTATTAAACTTGAGGCCTGACACTATGAACAAAGCACAATTCACCCTAATGACACATTCTCACCGCTGCAAAACAAACAATCGCGAAGGCCTGGCTGACTCC